TAAAACAATTTTTGAGTTGAGATCTGACTGCTGCCTGGACTGAGTTTTTGAAATTATGGATCTAAAAAGGTCAAAATAGGAGAATTTAAGTAAGATTCTAGAAAATTCTTAGAAAATGGTAAAAAGGTAAATTATATGTTTTGGAACCTCAATAGAGGCTCCAAAGGTAAAAATGGTATAAAAATAGCTTATTACAGAATTTCTTGAAAACATAGGTTTTTCAGGAAAAATAGTAAAAATTGAGTGAAAATAATTATTTTAAGTGTTTAGACACCTCAATAATTCTGGAAAAAAATATGGAATAATTATCTAAATATTTTTTTAAATTTATAAAATTGATTTCAGCCCTGGAAGTGTAGGAATTAATTTTAGAGAATTTATTTTCATAAGTCTTACAAATAAATCCCCATTAGGAGGAAATTCAAAATAAATAGTTAGTGGTGGAGAAAAATTCTAAAATTTTCTAGAATGCATTCTTATATTAAAATAGGATCTTTCATGGAGAAAAATGTAATTTTGGAGGCCTCAAATAATTGTGAAAAGTTACAAGTGAATAGTAATTGATAAACTGTATTTTTGCTTGGAATTGATATTTTATATTTAGGCCATCTTCTTGGATCATTTCAAATCAGAATTGGGCCTTATTTTGGGCCAAGAAAGCCCAAAATTTTTGTGCAAAAACATGGCCAACATTCAAATGGATTTAAGCTCAATTAATCCTAAAATATCAATGGAATATTCTTGAATTTGAACACATGACATGATTAGAAATTTTGAGGCACTTGATGGTAGCCACTTGGCCTCTTAGGTGGCTAAAAAGCATGCCACATATGAGGGGAAAAAAGCCAGAAAATTTGTTTATAAATACCCTCTAATTATACAAAATTGGTCAAAAATTGACAAAAGAAGGGAAGTGCTGCCAAACTGAATTCTTAAGCTTAGAAGTGAGCCCTAGATAGTGCTTTTGAAGGGAGAAACACCAAGTTTTGATCAACCATTAATTGAGATAAGTTTGAGCTTTGTTTTGGTTAAGTTTAGAGCTTATAACAGTTAGAAATTCAAGTTGTATTCTAAGGTTAGGTTGCTGTCCAATTTTGGTTGGAATGAGCATGGATTAGGAAAGGATAGAAGCCTTGAAAATGAGTTGGAATTATCATGTTTAAGTGATGTTTGGATTGAATTTTGGAAGAAAACCAAGTTAAGATTCTTAAGTATTCAATTTAGCCATGATGAGTTCTTGGGATAGGAGTTTGTTTTGCTGTATTTTGATTATTCCAATGAGTTTAAAATGTGTTTTTGTGTAGGAAAATACCAAAAAAAATGTGTTTAGAATCATTGGAATCAAAATTAAAATTTTGAGCTTAAAAGAGGTACTATTCGACTAAGTCAAAATGGAAGGAACTGAGCGTGATTTTATTAAATATAAATTGATATTTGGATTTTATATGAAAAATTGTGTAGAAATTAATCAAGAGATTGAAAGAATTGAATAAGAAATAATTATGTCAAAAATAAAGAAAAAATGGGATTTAATTAGGCTTAGGGTTAAGTGTTTATAATCAAGCTTGAATTATTGATAATCTGGTTTGTAATTATATTAGATTGATAGGTTTTGTGGAGGAGAACCAAAGAGAACATTAAACCCTTATGAAGACAGAATTGAAGCAAAGTTAAAAGGTAGCATTTGAATCCATAATTTAATTGTTTTTCCTGCTTACTTAATGTGTATGTATTGCTTGCTTCATTTTGGTATGAAATGGTTGGATTATTCTATGGTATTATGAAACATCCTTCTTTTAACCCCTCAAAGTGCACATTTGGAAGCGTTACGGTTCAAGCGATTCACAAATCAAGCCCATAGATTGAAAATTTACAATTGGTTCTTGGGTTACTATTTACTGGTTAAATTTTAGATTTTTGGTCCAATTTGAAAAATCATAAATAATTATAAAAAAATTATATTGAGGTGGTTCAAAATTATATTTGAAGATATTTCAATTTTCTATAGGGAAAAAAAATAAAAATGGATTTACCCTTGCCAATTCGTACAGTTTATCCATTGAATTTTACTATTCATTTAGTAAAAACTATACTTCCCAATTTCTCTACCCTAACTTTGGTCAACCATAACTCTTAAGACACACATCCATTCTAAGTGATTGATCACTTGTTTTAAAGCTTAGGATGTATACTTTAATCATACTAAATTTCACAGTCAGAATCAATCGTTTGCCTTACATCCATTCTGTCACTATTTTGTGACTCATTTAAGGATGACTTATGCCCCTTATTCACCTCCTTGAGGCTTCCAACATAACCTTTGGCACATTTATCTCTATTTCTCATTCTTGGGTCTCAAGACTTCATCCGTTTTTCTTAGTACTAAAAATTTTTTTCTTTGCGATTTAGTCCCTAGGAATCCCTCTGTCTCTCCAGGGGACTTCTGGGACTCCTGTCACAAAGAGTCTAGTAGCCTTTCCATTTTAGGCTAATTCTGGTACTTCTAGGCGCAAAATTCGAGATATGACAATTCTTTCCCTCTCAAAAGAAATTTCATCCTTAAAATTTTTAGCTCAAACCTCTATTCTTACTCTTAATAAGAGGCTAACTAAGGAGAATATCCCCACTTTTACTCAACCTTAGCCTCTTTAACTTTCTGTTATACTTCATTGTTAGGTTTTAATCTTGGAATTCATATTTATATAGCTTTATGTTCCCTATTCCTCTGTCATTTACATGAACTTGGCTTTTTCTTGTAAGCATTTTGCCATTATTGCTAGCATTCTTCTTATACTTTAGGCTCATTCTTTCATAATATTGATGTAGTTGTGTACCTATCTTCATAGTGTTTCACTGTACCATGGTATTTCAAGTTTCGCTAACACTGCCTTTATCTGTTCCTTTTAGCATACCCTACTATTCTCATCTTCACTTTAAGTCCATGTCTCCTTTCCTTCACATTCTCATTTCATATTTAGCTTGCCTGAATATGTACCCTTTAGGACTTACAGCTTATGGTTCCCTTAACTCTTACTTTCCTTACTTTCCTTTGTTGAGTAGAATAGAATTGAGCTTGATCTAATTAACAATAAAGGTATCTGTAGAAAAGTCAAGGGTACTCTCTCTATACTAGCCAACCAACCTGAGAAGCTTTCCCTATCTTAAACTCACCTCTGGTCATCTCATTCTCGTGCCTCAAAGAGATACTACCCTTATGGCTCAGTAATTTCCTTTAGGCTTGGTCTACTATGACCTTGGGAGCTACTGCGCTCTACCATAAGCCTCTTCAGGATCCATTGTGACCCTGAATTCTTTCACATTCTACACGAGCCATGTTTCGCTCTTTGGGAGCTTTTAGACCAGTGGATTGAGTTAAAGAATAAGTCACCTACCCTCACTTGGTAACTTGACTGATCATTTCCCAAGACTGATCACAGATGCCAGTAGTGCCTTTTTAGCCCTCACTCAATCCTTTTTGTCAACTTTAGAATCATTCATCTTTCCTACCTTTCCTTTTCCCTTAACTTTTGGCTATCTCAGGCCATTTCCCTTTCATTGTGCCCCTATAATTCTATAGGCTATTGGTTTACCTCGCTAGCCTTTTGGGCTTGTCATCATGTTAATTGAATCAAATTGGGAGTGCCATGCTTTCTTTAACCTCTTCATGTTGCTTATTACGATGGTCTCCAATTTTAGAAGCCCAACCTATGATTCAATGCACAATTTATGAGTCCACATAGTAAACAATGGCAACTACAGAAAATAAAATAATTTGATGTTTAATGACTCGACAATTATTTGAATATGGTACAATTCAGATGCTCAAATCATAGAATTTATAACCTCTTCTGTTGCAGCTCCATTTCTCCCTCTCTACCAATTATCTCTTCCATCATCTCACACCCTGTTATTTTAAGCTCTTTAAGGTTTGGAAAACTTCCAACCACAGAAGACGAGAATAAGTACTTCAAGCCGCCACAGTCCTCAACACTCAGGTTGGTCAGCTTGTGAAAAGAATTAGCCATAGAAAGGTGATCATCTTGCCAAATATTTTCTAGATGGATTGAACTCAACTTTAGAGTCTCCAAATGAGAAAACTTAACCTGTTTAAAAAAAAAAAAAACTCTTATTCTCATAATGGTAAATAAATAAACAAATGAATTGTACAAGCACGATGAAAATATGGGGAATTAATCAAATTAACAATAAATAATAATGTTGTTATTGATCTTACTTTATTAGTGTTTGTAATGGTATATCCTAGTATTTCAAAGATGCATGTACACATACATTGGAGAAAATGCAATATCAGAATAAAAAAATACCTTTGCATTGAAAAAAAAAATGATGATGGAACATTAATGTCCGACAACGAAGCAGAGTAGAAATCTTCAATGGCTGGCAAATACCGTAGAGCCAAGGATTGCAACGAACAGAACTCAATATTGTCATCAGCAGTCACTGAGCTTGAGAAAGAGTTTTCTACAAGCACAATCTTCTTCATAGGACTACATTCCAAAACTTCAACCTCAACAAGTTGGCAAAGAGCCTTGACTACGAACCCCGAGAATAGATACTTCAACTGGTCACAACATTTGACTTTGACAGATTTAAGTTTTGCAAACGAATTATTTGTAAATGGGCCATTGCATATCTTCTCCAATTTATTGAGATTTTGAAGTATTAGTGTTTCCAATTTTGGGAAGAAAACATTACTTGTTTTTCTCTCCATTGAGTTGATGATGTGTTGAATTTTTCCATTATTTTGAATGCAAAGGTGCTTTAACAAAGGAAATCCTTCTCCATTCAAATCGTAAAGCACATTGGAGATTCCGTTTACTTCATCCAAGTCCAAATCCTCCACTGGTTTGATAAGTTCTTTAATCCCATGCTCTAAATGAATGATAGTACCAAGTTTGAGCTTCAACATGTTATAGGCCCCACAATTGTCACACCATTCCCAAACATCTCCTATCATTATTTGGTATCTTTCCAGTCTGTCAAATACTATGTCCCTTGGCAAAACCCAAGCTCCTTTTATTTGAATTTCTAGAGCAATCAAGTTTGTCAAAGTCTCTAAGTTCAGAAAGGGAAGCGTTTTTGTTTTCCTCAATTGAATCTTCTTGGTCCCACCTAAGGGAGGTATCGCATAAATACAACTCCTCCAATTTGGTCAATTTTGATATAATGTTGGAAGGGAAGATTTCAATTCCAGAATAAGTCAAATCCAACATTCTAAGATGAGTTAATTCCCCTAGTTCACTAGGCCATGTTATCATAGAAGATCCATAAAAGCTAAGAATTTGCAAATTCGTTAAAGCTCCGATATTGGTCAAGTCTCCCAAAGCACATTGATCCAAACAAAGTGTTTGAAGGTCAGTAAGGGAACAAAAAGATGGGGGCAATGATGGTAAGTGCATGCGGCTCAGATCTAATACTCTGAGTTTTTTCATTCCATCAAAGAAATAATCTGGGACACTTAAAGAGTCGTTCTTATTAGACAAGTGGAAAAGTTTAACATTAGGACATTCTAACCTGTCAGGAAGCTTAGGAATGTGACACCCTTTTAAGATGATTTGATTGCATCTTTGAAGAAATTCATTGGATGGCCAAAGCTCATCAGCCCTTCGAATTTTGCAAACATGTTGATCTCTTGAAGCGATTGAGACTGCTACTTCATGTACAATGTCATGCATTTTAACTTCCTTGTTGGAGTTGTTTTCGAGCAATAGACAAGCAGCCTTTAGGGAAGCAATCAACTTGTGAACTTTAACTCTTGCATCTTTTAAAGTATAAGTTTGCTTGAATGTTCCCAAACCCATAGCATATTTCAACAAGTCTGCAACATTAACTTGGGTACCTAGTAATCCACAAAGCAAGAAAAGTGCCTTGACATCATCACCCTTAAGATGATTGTAACTAAACTCCAAAGCCGAATAAATTTTCTCATTCATTCCTTCCTTATCAACAATATTGAGCTGGTTTAAGGCATATTTCCAAGATTCAATATTATCATCATTTTTTAATGCTCCTGCTACTGTCACTATAAGAACAATCAAGCCTCCACATTTTTGGGCCACTTGAATTGCCACATTACGTAAACTAACATCCCTAACACCATCACCCGCTATGTCTTCAAACAACCTCCAAGATTCTTGTTCATTTAAAACCTCCATCAAGAAATCTTTTTGAGTCTTCATTTTTTGTAATATATCTAGATATCTAGAAGTCAACAATAGCTTGCTACCCTTCTGATCATTTAGAGGAATTCCAAGGTTATCTAACTCAAGCACATCCCAAAGATCATCCAATATGACTAGGATACTTCTCTCATTTTCAATCCTCTGCCTGAGGCGAAATGCTTTTCCAACTATGGTCGTCTCTTCAAAGCGAAGACCCAAAAGATCTGCAATTTCACATTGACTTCTTTCAAGATCGGCAGCTTGGGATATATTAGCCATAACAACTTCATCAAACAACTCGTCATCTTTAACTTGTTTGGCAATTTCTTTAACTAGAGTGGTTTTTCCCACTCCGCCAAGCCCATAGACTCCTATTCGGCTTAAGTTGGGGTCTCTTAGAGCCAAGACAATATCCTCCTTCATTTTCTTTCTTGACTGAAGCATTTCACTACCTGTAGCATAAGTGGAGCCTGCTCCCTCTAGACCAGGCAAAAATGCAAGTGGACCAATGTTATCTTTTCCTTGCATTACTCTATCAACATCTCCAACCATTTTCTTTGATTTTCTACTGAGTTGATGGCGCGACTTTAAATCAGGAAATGGGCCCTTACAGCAACTGACATTCCTATGACGACGATCGCCACAAAGTTGCTCTGCTGCTTCTACAATTTCATCCACTCTGTTCAGCCAGTTCTGTGCGGCATCATAAATTTGTCGTCCATTTCTTCTTTCTGTTTCCATTTCATGACTGATAGTGTCCTTTACTCTCTTCAGCTCCTCAACTTGATTCTTGAGATTATCGACATTGTCTTTGTAGAAAATCAAATAACCCACTTGCCTTGCAATAGGTGCCACAGTGTAGTTTACTATCGGTTCTGCAACTTTTTCAGCAATGGTCGTGGCAATAATCTCCATTTTCCTGATTTAGCTGCGGAACAACTCAAAAATAAGATCAGCAGATAATATAAGGAACAGCAGTTAGTGAGACAAAAACTGAAAAGAAAAAAGGCGCTAATACCTATGTCCGTTTACATTACAATGGGTAAGATATTGTAACGCTTTAAAATTTAAAAAATAAAAACATTATATATACCGTCTTTCCACCAAAAATACAATCTAATTTATCATTTATTTTTAATACTATATATATTATATATAAATAGTTAATAATATTATTTTTTGTTTGAATGAATTTTTAAATCAAAATATTTGTCAGCGTTGCCAAAAAAAAAAAAAATTTAAACATCAAAGAGTGAAGAAGCAAAATAAGTTAATTGAAAGTGGAGGAAATAACATCATGTGTTTCTTGAAAGTGATGTCGAACATTTGTTTGATTGACGTTTGAGTAATTGCTAAATGATCTTGAATATTTCATTTTGATTTGGGGATCTTATAACATGTAAATTGTGATTACATCCTTTCAAGTAAAGGCTAGCTAGTTCTTTTAAGACTTTTATAAGTAGTGTTGTAGCGGTTGGCCTTTGTTTATAGGGAACAAAACCCGAAGCCTGAAAATAGGGGCATTACTCTTGGCCAATTGATTGAAGCACAGCTGAATTTACATTAAAAATCACCAAAATCATACTTTCAAGACCTAATAAGCTATCTGTCGCTATAGATATGTTCCTTAGGAAGGAAAGAAAGCATATATAATTCTTTTTTTTCCCCCCATGAAAAGTGGGGCGAACCGCCGAAATTATTCAATCATCAACAGAAACAAGTCTAGGGCATTTAAAGCTCAAGGAATCTCTATACTGCAATTGACGCAAATCCTCAGAAGGATTGGTTAACAGCTGCACGCTTGACTCTTGAGATAAACTCGAGTTAGCCAGCCAATCTGCATAAATATTGCCTTCTCTATTAGTATGCACTATACGCATGTCCTAATCATCAGATAACCATTGAGACACCTGTCCCAAGAATCTGTTTCCTATCTTATTATGCACAACGAGATCCTTTAAAAGGGACACAATTGGAGAAGAATCTGATTCAACTATAACTCTCCTATACCTCATGGGTTGTGGCATCCAAAACCCAGACCACATTCCCCATAATTCCACTGTGAAAACATTGCAAATTCCAATATTATTTACAAATCCACCTAACCAATTACCATGCTCATCACGGATTAGCCCTCCACAACCTGCAACTCCTGGTTGCCCTTTAGCTGTGCCATCTATATTCAATTTAATCCATCCCTTGTCCGGCGGCTTTCACCCCACAGATATCCACACCCTACTATTACCCACAACAGTATCAGAATAAGAGTATATATAATTCTTTACCTCTTGATATTCAAGCATTTACTTGAGTTCCAAATCCTGAATATTATACTATTTCCTTCTATGACTATCACGGCGTTGAAATTTTTCCTGATAATTTGAGCCATATTTTCTCTTTGGTTGCCACCTATAGGCTCAATATTTCATGACTTCCTTGAGAACAATGTTTTTGGTTTTCAGAGTGCTCTAATTTTTCTAATCCGCTTTTTAAGACTATATATTTTGCTTTCTAGTAGAACGAAGGAAATAGTTGATCATGTGAGAAATTATTTTCTGATCTAAACTATTCAAATTCTTGCCAGAAATCGTTTCAGCTTTGCAAAAGAAGATTGCAAGCTCCATGAAAGACAGGATCTTCAAACTCCAAATTCGAAAATGTGGCCTGATTGGAGCTTCTACGTGTTTTATTCTTTCTTTTTTTGGTACTCATCCACTACAAAAAAAAACTGACTTTCAGCAGCAAAAGTTACCGTAGAAAGTCACTGAAAGTCTAAATTTCAATGGTAATTTTAATTGTCACTGTTGAAAGTCACGCTTTCAGCGGTAACCAAAAGTTACCGCTAAAAGTGTGGCTTTTTAGTCTTTATAACAATTTTTTTCACCAATAAATATATATTTTTGTTTAAATATAATATTTAATGTTTCAAAACATTAAATGTATTATTTTATCATTAAAAAATGAAATAAGATAATGATATTCCATTTTTATAAAATTTATGCTTAAATCAGTACTTTAATTAAAATGTCTTATATATTTCCAATTATATGCTATGTACATATAAAAATATTTTTATTGTTTTGGTGTCTATATAAAAACAATTGTTCTACCAATTTTGATTGGTAAAGTTTAATATGTTATATGTATGTATGCATGTATATATATATGTATGTGTTTTGCTGTTTTAATTTCTTCTCTCTCCGTATCACGAAAAAGGGAAGATATATTGGGTCATATAAAAAATATTCTCTTACACCTCAATCAAGATGTTTTTGTTGATAAGATTGGAGATATAACTGGAAAAAGGTCTCTTCTCTTATATTTCCATTATCTTCCCTCCTATTCTTTTCTAACTCTTAGATCAATTTTTCAAAGGTTTAGATTTTAATTAAAAGTGTTATTAAAAATTAAATTACAATACTAAATAAATAACAAAATACAAATAACAAAATTAATTTTAACAATTTACAAGTGATATAAAGAAAGTGACTTTTAGCGGTGATTTAGTTTGTCACCATAGAAAGTCATACTTTTAGCAGCAACTTTTAGAATCTCTGCTAAAAATAAGACTTTTTACAATAATTTTTTCTTACCATCAAATGTCTTTCTTTTTTTTGGTTTAAATCTAATGTTTAACATCTCAAAACATTAAATTTATAATATTATCATTAAAAAAATAAAATAAGGTAATGATATTCCATTTTCATAAGATTTATATTAAATCAATACTTTAATTAAAGTGTATTATACGTTTACAATTATATATGTAATGTATGTATGTCTGTATGTGTGTGTGTATATATATATTTATGTATGCATTTATGTGTTTTGCTATTCTAATTTCTTTTTTCTCACACATCACGAAGAAGGAAGGGAAGATATATTAGGTTATATAAAATTTTCATATTTTTTCTATACCTTAATCAATATATTATTATGGATAAAATTAGAGAAATTGTAATAGCTTAAATTTATTTATGTATTTTTATGTAATATTATGATCACGATTTTATGAGACATTAAATCTCAACTGTATTATAATTAATATGAGGATTCAAATCCTTTTCTAATACTATCTGAAAATATGAATATAAATATAAACATAACATGGGATAAGATATGAAGAAAAGGAGGGAAAAAAGAGAGTAAAGGATCCCAGTTCTTTCCTAATTCTACTATAATCTATAATTTATATTTAAAAATTTAAAATAATAAAAACTGATAAAAGCATGAAAAAAATTTCAATAATTAACTAAAAGAAAAATAAATTTTCAAATAAGAAGATTATTAATTTTTATATCGTAATTTCTAACGTAATATTTATATGTTAAATTATTAATTAATATATTCAATAAATATAAATATAGTATAAATAAAAATAAATTAAATTAATAGTATTATACTAATTATATACATATTTGAATTTCTACCAAAAAGACTATTATAAATATTATACTCTTATATAAATTAATATTATATTTTATAATTTAATATATATTGAAATGAATGTAAATGTATATACGTTCATATTTATATATTAATATTATATGTATTTGCATTACACGTATTAAAATATTTTTTATATACCTTTTTTTTGGCCAACTTTATATGTGGATATGTGTGTTTGTTATGCTTAATATATGCGCGCACGCACACACATATATATAAATATATAATTTTGTATTAAAAGATTGTAGGTTCATTCTCACATGGCAACAAGGCCTTGCATAGGAAAGGGGAGATCGAGTGTTCGGATCTTAACAGAGGTCTTATGAAGGGAAAATATTGGAGGGTGATGTGGCACAATAAGCCATTGACACATGGATCTTATACAATGAAGCTCTTGTTTAGAATCGGTAATATGGGTTGAGTCCATGAGAGACTCAACCTATCAATCTATCATAAAGTGATGGATTGGGTCAAGGAAAATAGGAACCATTTTGATGCGGTCCTTTTCAGCCTCTACCTGCCAACCTGCGGGTTAGCCCACCAGCCCATTTTTTCCTCTCTTTTTTTTTCAATTTTTCTTTTACAATTTTATTTTAATAAGAAAAAGTCTTATCATTTTCACTTGATTTGTATATAACTTTATATTTTATTAGAGACTTTGATTCTAAATTTAATTTCTCATTTTTTAATTGTTTTATCATTTTTATACTAATAAAATAATTATTAACAATGAATTATATGTGTATATTTTGACTTTTGAGATTAATTTAATTATATAATTATATGAAAACATAAGAACAAGAAAAAATTAATCTATAAAAAGTTATAATTTAATTAAAAAATTTTAAATGTATGTGTAAAAAATTTTTTTAAAAAAAGAATAAAGATTGACGGGCCAACCCGCCAACCCACCCTTTGATAGGACGGGTTAACAAAATATGAGCCTGCTAGGAGACAGTCCTTTTAGGATCGGTGCACATGGTTCCAAACCTGCGGCGGGCTGTTTCGTAACTGATAGGCCAACCCGTTTTACCACCTCTCCTCTTGTCTCATCATTATCATGCGATGTGATGCACAATGGTCTACAGAGACAAATAACCCACCAAAACAAATTACTGCAGACAAATGGCGCACAGCTATATGATAGTAGTATTTTATTTTATATATCCAATGGTGGACCTATGTGAAGTTGAGGGCGGGGAACGAAAAACTCACAGGTATTCATTGCAATTTTTGAGAATTTGCCTCTATTGTGTCAATAATTTAACGTCTACTAGTATATATTAATTCTTTTTATGATTTCAACATTTTATATTATTTATAGCTGCGTTCATCACTATACAAACACTGTATTTTATATCCAATGTACCCCCCGGGGGGGGGATAACATTTACTAATTTATAAATAAAAAAAAAAGATAACAAAGAACTGAAAGAGATTAAATAAGATTTTCTATCGTTTGACGG